AGGAGTTTGAGACCAGCCTGGCCAACATTGTGAAATCCCGTCTCTACTAAAAATACAAAAAATTAGCCAGGCAGGATGGCAGGCATCTGTAATCCCAGCTACTAGGGAGGCTGAGGCAGGAGAATCGCTTGAACCCAGGAGACAGAAGTTGCAGTGAGTCGAGATCACACCACTCCACTCCAGCCTGGGTGACAGAGTGAGACTTCGTCTCAGACAAACAAACAAACAAATAAATAAATACCCCTCTATTTTAATTGTTCCTTATTTATACTAGGGATAGCTTTTCCACATCTATTGATGTCTTTATGTTTTTTCTTCTTTGTTCATTTAATAGAAAGTCTTGCATTCCTAGAATACACCTTGCATTCCTGGAATCTCAAAGTTGATTATTCTTTTGCAGTATTATTTTCTTTTACTAGTATTTCATTTAGAAAATTTCATGAATTCAGTAAATGAGACAATGTATTTTATTTTTTGTATATTTAATGTCAGGTTTTAATATTAAATTTACACTAAACTCACAAAATTAATTGTGAGAGAATTCTGTAGGATGCTGTGGATTGAAAATTTACCTACTGTAAAATTTATGTTGAAAGTTAATCCCCCCCAATGGGGCAGTATTGACAGGTGGAGCCTTTAAGAGATGATTAGGTCCATTCACAAATTAATAAACTAGTGGGTTATCACAGAAGTAGCATAAATGGTTTTATAAGAGGATAGAGACCTGAGCTAACATGCTCAGCCCCCTCACCAGGTGACCAGCCCTCAGAGAAAGCAACAGGCATGAGTCCCACCTCAGGACTCTGCTGAGAGTCCCCATCAGCAAGAAGGCCCTCATCATCTGCAGCCTCTCACCCTTGAACTTTTTAGCCTGCCATGGGCATCACCTGGGAAAGCGTTAGAATGCAGAATCTCAGGCCCTATTCCAGACCTACAGAATCAGAATATGCATCACTAACAAGATCTCCAGGTAAACCTCGTGCACAGTAAAATTGGAAAGCTCTGACCTGAACAGGTGGACGTTTAAATTGGAATTATCTTAATGTGTCATAGAACTCAGCTATGAATCCATTCAGTCATGGTAACTTTTTATACTTAATCTCTGCCAATTGGTGTGTTTAAGGTTTCTACTTCTTGGGCTCATTTTGGCATTTTATATTTTTGCTAAGAAGTCATCTGTATCCCCTGGTTTTTACACCTTTGTTACTATGGAGTTGCATGCTTTTATTATTTTAATTTCTTCCATCAAGTGAGGATGGCCGGCTCTTTCTTCATTTATATATTTTTGCTTTGCCTCATTTTTCTCATTATTAGGCTTTACAAAAGACGTATCAAGTTTCTTGATCATTTCAAAGAACCAGCTTTACAGCCAATTAGTATTAATTCTTCAAAGCAAATAAGAGGAGGACATTACAATGTGAACCATTGCCATGGATGAATTCAGCTTTGCTTTCCATTAACATCAAAACTCTGTACACATGGAAATCTGAACTTCCAGGGGCCAAAGCATTATAAGAATGCAGGATTAATACCAACCTTTGATTCAGAATCGCATTCCGAATAGGGTCTACCTCCACCTAAGTGGCCTTTCTGCATACCTAACCACATTCTAAATGCCATTTATTGCCTCATTAAATAATGCTTTGAGCATTTGTGTCTTGTTTTACAGTTTATATACCTTTTCTACCCACTATCTCATTTGAGATTTATATTTAATATAGTCTAAAATAGATAATCTCTTGCTAAGAGGAATACCGCCTCTAACCTGATTTTCATGTACTGAGATCAACGGGGCCCCAGGAAAGCCTTGTCTCTTCAAAGGGCTGAAAGGGGCCACAGCAGGGTGTGCCTTGAGGAGACAGCTAAGAAAGCAAGTATTCCCTCAGAGAAAGCGAGGCATGAGTTAAAATTTTAGCCATGCCCCGATGTAGAAAATGGCATTTCAGATATTCACTCTAGACAAGCCAATTTTGTGAAATGCATTAGCTTCCTCTCCCTTCCATTAAGAAACCAAGGTTTTGTTTGCCCTTTTAAAAATGTATGGAAACCTATTACGTAGATACTTTCTTTTCTTACCTTTGCAAATATTCTAATAAAATAAGGATTTCAAAACCCAGATGACAGTTAAGGTTTTGCACTCAAATTGATCCACGTTCAGGGTGATGGCTGTAAAAACATAAAGTGTAGTTTACTGAATTTAGGATATTCAGTTCACTGATGGACCAGTCTTAGGTTGGTCATTACGGAGAAGTTATTACGGAGATACCGCTGAAGCCCTCCACAAAGTTAATTTTAAATCTTGTGCCGCAGACCAGAGATTTCTGATCTATAATAATCTATTTCACAAGCATTCACAGAAGCAAGCACTTGAATAGTCTTCCTTTTGTGGTGTATTTAGGTCTTTAAGTACCTGGACTAGAAACCATCTTAACCTCATATTCTTGGCAGTGCTGTGTTTAGACACTGTTAAACTCCAATAAACAGTGCTGAGTACTGAAAAGAGAAAATCATCCTGAATCCTTCCTCCCTCGGAAGAGATCTGATCTGCTTGATAGGATTTTTCCTCTTTAATAAAAATGTTCCCTTCCTAAATCCCAGGTTGGAAAATGAATAAGACAGATAAAATGGAAAATTTAAGTGAAATGATATCCATTGCATTTACGGGTTTTGAAAAGATAATACTAAAAGACCTTTGACATTGAAGTCTCTTACATAGGCAGAACATTCATTAGGAAACAAACATAACTACAGTAAAATCTCAGTTTTTATGATCTTAAATTCATTATTTATGTTTTTCAACTTTTTCTTATGGGAATGGTTTAAATTTAAATCCAAAATATCCTGAAATATCTCTTTTGACTTCAAGTGCTAGAAAGATAAGATACGCTGATTGCTTTTTTTTTTTATGTTAGACCTGTTTACAAAATACACTTTGGAAAATCTTCCTTTCAAATTCCAAAGTCTTGTGTTTTTTTTCCATTTAGCATGCAAGTCCATGGATGAGTAGTTGCCGTGGGCCTCAGCCCTCAGTTGGTGGTGGAGGAGCAAAACCAGGACCAAAAATAGGTTAATATAAACACTGCAATGGATATTTCCTGGTTATTTTGGAAAAACTTAGTGGGAAAGGGCCTGTGAATTAGGGAAGGCTTCCTGCAGGGCGTTGTACCTAAGCACACTCTTGAGGGGCAACCGGTGGATGAACTACTAAAATAAAGGTAAGAATGGGGAAACAAGTGGAAGGGAAAGCTTGGGGAGAAACTGAAAGAAAACTACAAAGAATGTAGGTTACAGGTAAATTCTGCTACTGTAACTATGGTAGAGCAAAGGGTTTACCAATGGGATGCAGGTAAGGACCTTGTATTTTAGATTATTTTTCAGTTGAAGGGAAAGGAACAGATGGGAGTAATTTATGTCAGGTCACACATATAGGAAATGGCAGAGCCAGGACTGGAATCCAGAACCAATGTAATACGCTTAACCTCCAGACTACTTGTCAGCTACATGGAGGACACATTTTATGGACCCAGAATTGGAGGAAAGATCTATCTGGACTCTTACTGCAGGAGACTGGGCAAGACTTAACAAGGCCTCGATAAAGTGCTGGAGCATAGACTGGGGATCAGGCTGTAGGCTCCAACTCCCTGGGTTAAAATCAAATTTTGGCTTAACAAACCTACCGGGTATGGTTGTAGAAAAGAAACTTTGGTGTGCCTCAGTTTCCCCATCTGTAAACTATAAATAGCATCATTACCTGACATTAACTGAGCTTTTTAAGGATTAGAAGACCACATACCTAATGTACACTTAGCCTAGTGGTCAGTAATGGGTGCTCAAAAAGCCGTTATTAGAATGCTACAGATGACACAGACAGTAATGGTCTTAAGAGTAAATTGGCAGGCTGGGTGCGGTGACTCAGGCCTGTAATCCCAGCACTTTGGGAAACGGAGGCAGGTGGACTGCCTGAGCTCAGGAGTTCGAGACCAGCCTAGGCAACACAGTGACACCCCCATCTCTACTAAAATATAAAAAATTAGCCAGGCTTGGTGGCATGTGCCTGTAATCCCAGCTACTCAGGAGGCTGAGACTGGAGAATCGCTTGAATCCGGGAGGTGGAGGTTCCAGTGAGCCAAGATCGCGCCATTGCACTCCAGCCTGAGCAACAGAGTGAGAACTCTGTCTCAAAAAAAAAAAAAAAAAAAAAAAGCAAATTGGCAGAACTGAGGGACTGATTTGGGGTGAGGTGGAGAGGAGCTAATGGAAACGAGGCAGGGAAGACCAGCAGGTTTTGTGCTTGCCAGGTAGTTAATAAATGAGGCAGATGGAGAGCGCACTGAAATAGAGAAGCTGGTTCATGGGAGATAGAAACGTCTTTTCCCTTCAGTTTGAGTTTAAGGTGTTAGCAGGACATCCACACACAGATGCCCAGTAAGCACAAGAATATGAAACTCAGGGAAGTGGTCGAGGGGAGTCACTAGCAAACAGGTGGTGATAAAGTGTGTGAGAACAGTGGGCTAAGGATAGCAGTCCATAAAATATAAACATTTATTTTGGGGTAATATATAAAATGCAATGAAATTCAAATGACATGAAAATACAGAAAATGAAATTTAGTACTGTGAGAATGAAGAATTACTTCTGATATTTAAATAGTATGTTCCCACAGTTTAGAAAAATCAGAGCACTAACAGCACATTTTGATTCCAAGCCATAAATATCCCATCAGGACAAATGCCCTCTATACACTCAGACTGAGCCAAAGATTTTACAAGGGTATGCTCAGAAAGACCAAAGAAAATCCGATGTTATCTTTAACAAATAATGCAACATTTTCAAAAAGGTCATTTTTTATAACACTTTTCAAAGCATAATGAAAAGGCATGGCCCTCATGATTGTCTCAAGAATTCTTCCCAGTAAAAAGCAGTACTTGTTAATGATCTGATGTCAGGCTGCTAACTGGTCGTTTATTCAGTAAGTCATTTCCCCTTAATATCTAGAATCATTTTTCACAGAATGGTAAAAAAGTTAACACAGGTCTGCCGCGCTCATTCAGCAAAGTAGTATGAAGTGAATTGACTTGCCCTTTCACTTGTGCAACAAAGCTTTCTTTAAAAACTAAATGGGCCACTAGTATTTAACAGCATCCCACCATCAAATCCTAAATATGAATTTAGAATCAAAATTATATATACGAAAGACGAAGTAAGCAGCCACCACATACAGCAATTCTGGCACTAGGTGAGTAGCTAGGGTCCTTCAAACTTGCTACTTCTGTCCTCCATTGCCATGCAGACACAAACAGAGTAACGTTTGGCACTTCAAATATGAAACATTTCAAGGTATCACTTCAGGGTAGGAGGTGATATGGGGTATCAGTATTTCTCTAGAGGGAAGGGATGCTGTTGACATTTTTGGCAACACAAGTTCAGTGTTTGGACCTGTGTTCCTCCCACAACTCAATGTTTCACATTCCATCATCCCCTCCTCCAACCCCCAATCCGAAGAGTACCCCCACTATGTAGAGACACAAAATACAAAATAGTTGTGTGTCCCACCAATTATCACACATGCTACTTTCACTTCTAGAAAGGTAAAAATGAACCAGACTAGTTATCTACTCATAAGCATAGAAGTTTGACATTTTCTTTTTTCTGTCGGCATTTCTGTCAACACCTGTTAACATCAAAGGCTGAATTCCTGGATGGTCGGTTCCCTTTGGGCAGACCTAAACTAAGCACTTTTACCCTTTTACAAAAGTGTGCATGAGATCATCAGGTGGACCCAGTAAAGCACATGACTGGCACACCTCCAAACAGCAAAGAGAGGCACATCAAAAAGTGGCTGTGGTTCTCAAAAGGCAAAGCCCACTCTCAGCTCCCTGGGGAAAATGGGCCTTAGTCTTGTTTCACCTGCATAACTGGAGGCAGAAAATAGGATGTGAATTCCGACCTGCTCTGCGTCTGATTCCACACCATTTGACAGTGAAAAGTGACTGTAAACCCAACAGGAAGAAACATTCAAAATGTCATCACTACAGAAGCAAAACCAGCAGGACCATTTCTGCACACAGGCAGTAGTAGGTCTCAGATGTTCCCTTCTCCCTCCTGATAGAGTGGATGCAGGAGCTTTGGGGACATGCAGGATCCACACACAAATGAAGGAAATGGCAGAGCACTCTCATTTTGGAAAGCTTCTCACAGATAATATGCCCCCACTGCCTATGAAGACTAAAAGATTTTAAGTACTCATTTATAGTCATAAGGGAATAACACAATTTCTTGGCCTGTCACTAAAGGAGAAAAACCACACCAGACCTGAAGATAAACCCTCAGAGCTACTAATGCTTCATTCAGGACTCTTTCCCACAGATTAGAGTAACATTATCATACAGCTTACACAGTAGTGGTGGTGGTGGGGAGGGTGGGGGGAGCGGGGTGGAACACATAGACGGACTCTTACCAATCCAGTGAATAAGGAATACCTAGATACTACTGTTTCTGCCAATGCCATAGACCCCTCCCAGGACTCGGAGATGACCCGTTAATTTTACTTCATCCCAACAATGAGCTTTGTAGAATGTGTGTCCCGGACACAATGCAGAAAACAAATATTTGGACAAGAGAATAAAGTCGGTTATAGATTTCACAAGTATCTTATGCACCAGTCTGTAATTTTTAATCAGAATTAGCTAAAAGACATTGTACCTTTCAAGTGTATGACTAAGCATAACAATGCTTAACAGTGGCTTTATTAAGTGACTGCTTAAAAGTATTCGACATTAAATTCAATTTACTTCACATTGTTTGCAAATACATCATCAATTCTTACATATTTCAAATCAACTTCAAGTACAGAAGGCTTGCTCTCAAATAAGTCTTCTGAGGTGACATAAAGACTGAAAGAAGCCTATGACTTGGGTCCAAGTCTCTAACCAACAATGACCAAATCGTCACTGATGAACTCGTATGTGGGGACTTCTAGGTTGAGAGGTGCAGGCCCCTTCCTGATCCTGCCAGACGCATCATAGTGTGACCCATGGCAAGGGCAGTAATAACCACCAAAATCTCCTGCATTTGCAATGGGTACACAACCAAGATGCGTGCAAACACCTATGAGGATCATCCATTCGGGTTTCTTTACTCGATCTAGATCATGCTGTGGGTCCCTCAACTGGGACAATTCTACTGCAGCTTCCTGCTCAATTTCCTTCTGGGTTCTATGGCGCACAAACAGAGGTTTCCCCCTCCATTTGAAAGCCATGTTCTTGCCTTCTGGAATATCAGATAACTTGATTTCGATTTTCGACATGGCCAACACATCAGCAGAAGCACTCATGGAGGAAATGAACTGGGTGACGATACTCTTGGCAGCGTATGTGACAGCCACAGCAGTTGTTGCTGTCACCAAATAGGAGAAACCTTTCCTAGCATCGCTGCTTTCTCTTGAAGACTTTGTCTTATCTAAAACTTCAGAGCGGCGGTAGTCAGAGAAGTCAGGCACCTTGATGTCTGTGTGGGAATAACGAACAGAAGCAGGGACTGCAAGACAAACGGAAGGTTAAAAAACACAATTAGATGAGTATCCTGAAGGGAGTACACACCAGGAAATAGCCCTTTATGGATTCACAAGCAAAAAACCAAATTCTAAAAAATGTGAAATATGACACCCACTGGGTCTCAGAAATAGTCAAATTGGCAGTGCTAGCATATCAAATATTAAAAAGGAAGTGAACCACTACCTATCATATTGGTAGGAAACCATAAAACACTATTTGTAAATTGAGCTCCATCTGGTTGAATATTGCTGATTCAGGAGTCACAACATCTCAGTGCATCGTGCTAAAAACGTTAAACAGGAAAATAAACAGTAATATCTCAAAGTTTCCGAAAATTCAACTGGGAAGACATTCTATATAAATCATGCTAAATACCTCCCATACTCTCTAGATTAGAAGGCAGCCCTAAGTCTCACCTAGTCCACACAATAAGTTGATGCTGATCATCTTTTTAAGGCAAATGTCTGCCCCTTATAGTCCAATCTATGTTCTCTGAAAGAACTGTTAACAATTCATAAAATAATAATGACAAAACAGTAAACATTCCGTGAACTGTATAACTCTGGTTGCAGAAAAATTAACGTTTCTATTTTATACTCTAGGGTATAAATTAGCATTACTTTAAATTAAAATAAAGCCACTAATAGGCAGAGGTCATCCTTATCAGGACAGGTAGCTCTCAAAATAAAATGAAATCTGCAAAACTAATTATTTTGATTTAGCAAGGAAAAAAAGGGCAAAATTTTCATATGCCCCCCTACTCAGTAAAGGGCAATAATTACTTGTTAACACTAGGGGTATTATCTTTCCTTTTCACTACTGTAGTTCTTTCAACTGGGGCGATTCTAGTGTAGGCCATAAAAGAGCCCAAATGAATATTAAACAAATAATTACTATGTAGTACTTTGGGAGCAAGTCATTTCTTTGGTTCAAGTTTAAAAAACAAAAACAAAAAACATACTATTTTTAAATATCTGACGAAGAAAATATTTTACCTAGAACCACTTTTAAGTATGTCAGGAAGTAAACCTCTTTGCAGATTGTACATTCATCTTAAGAAATTTGACACGAAGTTTCCTTTTTAAAAAGGGGGAAACTAAAAATTCCTCTTTTTGAAAATGTGATTCCAAAAGAAAGATTTTTATTTTAAAGACGCCTTTTTATTGTAATAAACTGCAATTCTACCCTTGCTCTACTAGGATCTCATCCAAATACACCGTACTTCCTTGAGTAGTCCAACATTACAATACGGAATATTTCAACTGCTTTTCACATGATTCTCAAGGTCAATAACTTTATGGAAGCCACAAGTATTCACAAACAATAATGAAACCTACCAAAATCATGCTATGTGCTTTTCTGACTAACCCAATCATTTCTTAGAGAAGACCAGGACACAGATATTGGCAACTTGAGATTCACATCCCAGAATCTGTGGAGTCAAAGGAACACTACATCCTATACTACTCCTCTAACAAAAGCTAACCTGCCAGTATACACGGGCATTTGGAATTAAACGTAAATTATTTGCTACTAGCACTATCTGGGATTACAAAAAAAAAAGACGTGTTTCCTACCTAAAAAATAAAGGAATCAGAAGTTCATACTTCTACATTAAAAATAGTATCCACAACCCTTAACAGTATACAAGGAAATGTACAAGAACACTCAAGAGAATGGCTTCCCCCTTCTCATTCAGAGATTTGGTGGCAAAAGTCTCCTCCCACTCTATCTAGCTGGTTACACTTTAGTAGGCTACACCACCAAGAATCCTTTTGGACATTAAACTGCCAAGTTGCAAAAATCATTCTCCAAATACTGACATGAGCTGCATTAGGTCTGACTTTTAATAAGATGCTAGATTTAGTTCTAACCCAAAGCAAGTTCAAATACTTAAAGGAGAAAATTTAAGGAATGTTAACAGAACACGTTTTGTTTAAGATGAGCTCCAACGTGCCTTGGAAATCTGCATGAAAATAGTACAACCTTCCTCTCCAACTCAAGGATCTTCTCCAGATCTAACCCCTCCCCTCCCGTTACCCATCTTTCCATAAACCACCTAGCCAGATTATAATGTGAACTTAAGGTACAGCTGAAATGATTACAGAAAAACTTTTCGCCTTATGGTCCTACATTATTTGCCTGTTTCTAATTCTCTAAGACAGTTAAACCTCCAATTTTTGAGGAAACTCTAGCAATACGACAAATTCCAAAGATGTTTTTCTGTTGCTATTGAAATGTTCTCCTTCCTTCCTTCTTTCTCGCCCCCAAGACGATGGCTAGGGTACTCTACACCCGCAGTAGGCAGTTTCTTCAAAATGCACGGCTTCTGAACAATTATTCATTCATAAATCCTTGGCACTAACTGTATACAAAATCTGACGTTGTGAAAGATAGAGAAATAAAGAAGACATTACATTCCCTATGCCCTTAAGCTCAAGGTCGGAGGAGTTACCAACAAACACAATACACAGTATAAAGTGTATGTGCTATAAAGTCAGACAAATCAGCAAATAAAAACTGTATTCCCCTGATCCTTAACTGAGATGGAAAGGATGGGTAAGGAAGACGTGGACATGCAGCAACTTAGTGGAAGGACCATGGAGAAGGCACAGAGCCCAGGGTGAATGAAGGCAGAGTAAAAAGAAAGTGGGGGGCAATTTGGGTAGCATGTAGGGGAAGAGTCACAAACAGGTATCAATGGAGCCAGGCTGGTAACACAATGAAACAAGCAGGCCTGGTAAAGACTGTGACAAACTGGTGGAGGGCACTTGCTCCAGCTGCGGTGGCGGCCACAACACAGCACACTATGGGCTTTTCCCAAGTAGGAACTAGATCCCAGGCATTGCCAGCTTCCAGCATTTCGAGGGATGCTATTAATCTTTCCAGTGTTTTAGAAACTACACAGCCTGCAGGCAACTGTCCACAGGCTGCCATTTCTCTATCTCCGATACAGGGCCAGGTAAGGAAGAGAAATAGAAGGCGAAACGAAGATAAACGGAGCTCTAAGGACAGAGGGTGTGGAAGAGCCCCTGAGAAGAGCTCAGAGGCTAGGACATTCCGTCTTGTCAAATCCCTGCTACCACAGGTCCACACCACGGATCCCCGTGCGAGTCATTTACCTCGTCTGTTTTCTGATCTGTAAAATGTAAATGTCATCAATCTCTGCCTGTTCTTGAGGACTGATTATGTTGTGACACTACACCTTAACTGACCTTGTGTATGCTGTTTTTTGTTTTTTTTTTGTTTTTTTTTTTGGCGGGGGTGATGCAGGGGAAGGACACTGAGGGGATCGGTGGTGAGACCAACTTCCTAAATATTAGTAAGCAAGTAAGCGCCCAAACTGTGCTAATGGCTTCAGATGGAATTATTCTATCTAAGCCTCACGACACCTCTACAAAATTGGCATAACTATGAATCCATTTCACAGGAAGGAACGTTTAGAAACTTGGCCAAGGTCAAACGACCTGCCAGCATCAAAACCCCTCAAAGATGGCTGGAGCAAGGGGCCTGCAGAGCCCGTGAACTCGGTCGAGGAGTAACCGTGCAAAGCCGGGGGACGCGAGCCCAGGCCGGCCCCCACAAAGACGTCCCGGGCACAGGCACTAGGCCCAGGTCGCGGAGGCCGCCCAGCCCGACCTGATCCTCCCACCGAGGCTCCGCTCGCGCGCCCGCGGCCTCTCCCTGCCGGGGGCGGGAGGACCGGGCACCCGAGACCCTCAGCCCCGCTCGCGGCCCTCGGTCCGGCTCACCATTGAGGCCCACGGAGGCGACCAAAGGCCGGCGGGCGGCCTGGCCGCTCAGCGACTCCCGGCACAGGATGGGCCGCTTCGGGTCCAGCACAGGCGGCTCCGGGGTGGCGGGCACCGCGGCCTGCACCAGGGGCCGCAGTGCGCCCGCCACCCCGCGGGACGTGGCCGACAGGACGGGCGCAAACGGGCCTGAGCGGGCGGCGACCGACAACATGGCGATAGCTGCTCCAACCGCCAAGCCGGTCACAGGGACGACCTTCCGCCCACAGCGCAGGCGCGAGGAGTCGCGGGACGCGTGGCGTCAGCGCGACGCAGGAAAAAAAGAGAGTCCTGCAGGGCGGGGCGAACCCGGAGAGGCGCCGCGTCGGGGGGCGGGGCTTGCTGCCCAACTGTCAGTCCCGGTTCCTCTCGGTCTGTGTCCCGGGATCTGTCCAGAAGAAAGGGCTGAACAGGGGACCCCCAGTGACGTCCGATGAGCCGACTTTACGGTCCTTCCTAACTTTCATCTAGAAAGACGTAGAGATAACAATAAACGATTACAGTTTAACTGAGGATGGTAATACATCTCACCTAGAACAAAATTCGGCACATAGTAATCGCTGTGTTTGCTATGATGATTTTTATTATGTTCGTCTCACAACAAACAGGCCAAGACATCCGTGCAAAGCTCGATGATGCTAATGGCTTATGTTTATGAATCATTCACTGTGTATTTGGTTTTCTGTTTTATTATACCTAAATGGTTTCATTTGTAATCAAGTTCTCTGTGAAGTCAGAGCTCTTACTATCAGCATTTTACTCAGGAAGAAACCGAAGTTTAGAAAGATTCTTTTCCCGGAGCTGGATAGCCAGCAAGATGTGAAGCAGGGTAACCTGTCTCCTGAGTCTATATGCTCTTCACCGCCACCACTGTTCTCCCAAGTAAGATTTTAGGGGATGCGCAGAGTTCCCTCATTCACTTTCCATCACGTGGTGAGAAAGTTCTTTTTTTTTTTTCTTTTAATTTCTCTTTCAATTCTTCTGATGGCATCAGTGAGAAAGTCTCAGTTTGGGGCTAATACATCTTTAATTAAAAAAAAAAAATTGTAGAAATGGAGTCTCACTATACAGCCCAGTTCAGTCGTGAACTCCTAGCCTCAAGGAATGCTCCTGCCTCCACCTCCCAAAGTACTGGGATTATACGCATGAGCCAATGCACTCGGCCTCAGTTTGATCCTAATATATCTTTAATTCTTCTCTACAGTTATCTCCCCCTTTTAACAGAATAGATCTTGAATTAGAAGCTCTTAGCAGACAACTGAGTCTACAGAGGTTCATAGTACTGATTTTCTATCCATACTGGTTTTCTATTCTGTACTATACTGAGATAGTTTTTCACTTATTTAGGTCAAAAATGACTTAAATATTAAGTAAATATTAATGTAAGCTGTACGCAGAATTGGTAGAATTGTCATGATGGTATTTGAAGCACTGAAATTTCTCAGCACTGCTTGTGCTGTGCATGGGCTCTGTAATGGGGCAAGTTCCCTCACCTGTCTGTGCTTCAGTTTTCTCACCTGCCAAATGGGGGCAGTAGTGATGCTATGCGTGTTGTAAAATTACTGGAAGAAGTAAATGTACTGAAACATGTAAAGCACTGGCAGGCAGGCCCAGCACACAGGGAGCACCAAAGTGAGGATTTGCTGGTGGTGTTTTTATCCGAAATGCCACCTCCTCTAAGAAGCTTTCCCTTGATCCCTGCTGACTCATCGCTGTTCTTCATGCCGGGTCCAAAGTGTACTGACAGCTTTCCCATTTGACCTTCCTATGACTTTCCTTAGGGCTTAGGCTTTGCCCAGCCTTATAGCCCAAGAGACTGTGTTGTACTCTCAAGACTGGGGGCTGCCTCCTCAGGTGCCGCCCTGGCCAGGCTCACCACACAGCTGGCTCAGTGCTCTCCCTGGCAACAACCTTAGGATAAAAGACATTTCCAGAGAAGTTGTCACACACCATGCATGGTTTGAGTGCTTCACATGAAATAATATCACAACTGCCCTCTGAGTTGGTAAAAGTAAATGAAAAATGGATGGATGGATGGATGGATGGATGGATGGATAGATGGATGAAGGAGTCTTCAGAAAACCTTCACAATGTCCCAGTGGGGTGAACAGAATAGGAATTATCTCCAAACTTCCTGGGTTCAATTTTAGTTTCACCAGTCACTAGCTGTGCCTTAGGGTGTGTTATTTAACCTCTGTGTGTGCCTCAGTCTTTCTCTTGTAAAATACAGATAATAACAGGATCTATCTTAGATAATTACTTTGAGGATTAAATGGATTAATATATATAAAATGTGCCTGACACACAGTTTCTAAATATCCGTAATAACTTTCTATGTTCTAGATGAAGAAACTAAGATTCAGAGAAGACAAATGGCCTGCCCAAAGACACAGTGTTAAGAACCCATCTGGTAATGGATCTAGTCCAGTGTTGTGGCAGAGAGAAGGGCAACTGCATGGCAGATCACATGTCCTCTCGTGGAAGAAGGAAGCCAGTGTCCAGGAGTGGCAGGCATATTGGAATTTGGACTTCTCTAGGCCAACTTGGGTTCCACTTGGTAGACGGGGTTCTTGCTGTGTTGCCCAGGCTTGTCTCAAATGCCTGGCCTCAAGCAATCCTCCTGCCTCAGCCTCCAGTAGCTGGGACCATAGGGGCACACCACTGCCCCCCTCCCGGCAGTGGTTGTTATTTAACTGAAGGGTGTTTTTGCTTTCATACATCAGCTTACCCTGGAGCCAGAGGGCCTTTCATGCCAGCTCTGCCCCTTACTACCAGTGTGACGCCAGGCAAAGTTATTGTGAGATTTCTTATCTGTAAAACAGGGATGAAAATGAGATTGCTGTGCAAATTAAAAGTAGAAAGCCATGTGAAATATTTAGCACAGTGTTTGGCATACAATGAGAGCTTAATAAACATTGTTAGTTTTGTAAACCGAGGGAAAAAAATAGCCACAGGCCCGGGAACATAAATGCTTGGTAAGCTTCTCAGTTCCCTGGAAGTCTGACAAGCAACGCGTATGTATAAACAAGGCAGGAGGCAGCATGACGCCGCGTCTTCCTTTTAACAAACACTGTTTAAATCAGAGATCAGAGGTCATAGGCTGGAGATGCACTCTCTCCCCACTCACTTCTGCCCAGAGACACCTGGTGATCTGGCATATACAGTGCTGTGAATCTCAGATTTATTTGCTTGCATTTACAAATTGTATTCCCACATACACACTGTGGTAGACGGAATAATGCCTCCCCATGAAGATGTCCACAGCCCAATCCCTGGAACCTGAGAATACGTTACTTTACATGGCAAAGGAATGTTGCAGCTGTGATTGAAGAGACTGCGACAGGGAGAAGGTATTAGTCCGTTCTCATCCAGTTATGAAGAAATACCTGAGACTGGGTAATCTACAAAGAAAAGAGGATGAATAGACTCACAGTTCAGCATGGCTGGGTGGGGAGGGCCTCAGGAAATTTACATTAATGACAGGAGGCACTTCTTCACAGGGTGGCAGGAGAGACCATAAGCTGAGCTAAGGGGACAATCCTTTCTAAAACTATCAGATCTCCTGAGAACTCACTATCACAAGAACAGCATGGGGGAAACTGCCTCCCTGATCCATCACCTCCACCTGGTTCTGGCCCTGTTACAATTCAAGGGGATCGTAACGATTCAAGGTGAGATCTGGGTGGGGACACAGAGCCAAGCCACGTCAGAGAGTCTTCCTGCAGTGTCTGGGTGGGTGTGGTGTGTTCACAGGGTCTTAAAAGAGGGAAGTAGGAGGTGAGAACGCAGGAATGCCACACTACTGGCTTAGAGGGTGGAGCCAGAGGAGGGGCCTGCAGGTAGAGGTGCTGGGGGCCTGTCAAGCTGGGAATGGAAAGGAAACTTTCTCCCTTAGAGTCTCCAGAAGGAGTACAGCCCTACAGGCCCATGTTAGGCTTCAGACCTCCAGAATTGTAAAATAATAAAATTGTGTTATTTTAAGCCGCTCAAGACCTGTGTCCTCAACATAGAGAAAGACGGTGGGGTGGTGTCAGCCAGGGTAGGTACGTGCTTGGTGGTCTGGGTCCTTTCCCACTATGTCCATTCAGTTATGTTACCTGCCCATCTGCTGAGTTTGGGACCTCAGGTTTATACGATTCCTTGCACAAGCAAGGAACTGATTGCAGAGAGAGTAGAACACCAACACGTAGAGGAATCTCCTAGTTCCAAGTGTGAGTTGTAGTCTAGACACTTCCTGTTCCCTACAGTCTTTTTTTTTTTTTGAGATGAAGTCTTGCTCTGTCACCCAGGCTGGAGTGCCTTAGTGTGATCTCGGCTCACTGCAACCTCCGCCTCCTGGGTTCAAGCAATTCTGCCTCAGCCTCCCTCCCGAGTAGCTGGGATTACAGACATGCATCACCACGCCCAGCTAATTTTTATATTTTTAATAGAGATGGGGTTTTGCCATGTTGGCCAGGCTGGTCTTGAACTCCTGATCTCAGGTGATCCACCTGCCACAGCCTCCCAAAGTGCTGGGATAACAGGCGCGAGTGGCGCCTGGCCCTCCTCCCTACAGTCTCGATGTGTTCATCTGGGCAATGTGTGTGGGGGTGGTATAGGGAGGGGAGCTCTAAGGCGAATGTGCTAGGATTCTGCAATCGTTGTCCTCAAAACAAATTTGTCCCTGGGTAGTTCTGCCTGTGATCCTGCATAACGCGCAAAGCCAGTAAGATGCCTGTGCCCTCCTCCCCAGGGAACATGCCTCCCCGACACTTTCATCTCACCTTGTGCCCACACAGAAAGGCGATCGCCTCCCTGCTGAAGGGACCCCATGCCTGTCTCCTGTTTCCACACAATTACCCTGGGAAATGCCTGGCTTCCCATTTCCAGCTGCGGCCGTCGTGACAGTTTCAGCCTCTCCCCCCAGCCCACGTCCCTCGCTTGAGCAGCGAGACGTGAAGATGGACAGCTGCTTGAGAATCGCACAGACTGTTCTTCATCTAAGCCAGTTAAATGGCATTTCTGTTCTGTAAAGCCTGTTTTCGTAATTCTGTGCCCCTACTTCTTTGAAAGATGGTAACCCTAGGGAGGAGAAGAAATTAGCCAGGGAGGAGAAGTTCAGATGTGCTAATATTTTAATCGCTCATTCTTTGAACACATTAGTCACATTCATTAAGTATGATTAATTTCAAGCTTTGATGAAAACCCTATCAGTTTCCCTATCAGCCACACATCCATCTCTTGCCAAGCAGGCTGCTGCAGGAGCACCGAAAGTCCCCCAATGTTTCTTACACCTGGAT